GACCCGTGGATGGATTTCATCAGGTCCCATTATTCCAGTAATAACAGTCTCTCGTTTTCTCATTTTTCAGTTTTGGCAATAAGTGACTAATTATCTTTGTCCGTCATCCTTATCCTTACACAACAAGTTCTCTTAGCTGTTCTCAGGTTCACTGAGGTGCTGTTTATGTACAGATAATAAAATCAGACCCTATAACTAAAAGGAAAAGCAGGATATAATGAGGATGACACATTCTGTATTTAACAGTACTGGTTTGACACTACTCCCTTTTCTGGTTTTACTTTTGTTCCCCCCCCCGCCCCCCCCGACTTGTGAGTTTCAAGCAGGTCAGGTTAATCACATGTAAATAGCAATTTCACTGTATCAGTTGCAGATTGTTATTTGAACCGATATATGATTTGTCCCTAAATGAAAATCTTACAAGGGCACAGCCCTTGATTTCTTGTGTATGATAAACTACATGTTATTGTTACTACTGAAACTTGTTGGAAGTGGCTTATGTGTGAAGAGCATTACTATATCATCGAGGAAACAATCAGTATACATTTAGTACATTTTTGTGGTAGATTCCCTTTTTTCAGTGCTAAATAGTAGACTTATATCTTATTAAGTTGTGAATACACATAACGTCTAGAACACTATAACTGTGTTTCCATGTCAAAACCAGTTGGATTTCTTATGTTATTGTAGCATGCTTCTTTGTCTTTTATTTGGTGCAGAAAGCCTTTGGTTCTACATACTGAAGACACTTTTCTAAAAAACAACTGACTAAACATATGTAATACACACATAGAGACATATTTGTAGTAATATGTATTTCATATGATATGAATGTCACGTAAATTTTTAAATTCACCCAACCCAGTGTTTTGCTAAGAGCAGTAGCGTTCATATTATTACCAGGGACAACTTAGGATTTTTGCCTAATTTTTACTGGCTGGTTTCATTTTGACACTCCATAATATTATAAAAACAACTGCTGAGTAACACACTGATTCAGCTTTAGTGAGTTCAAAATATAAACTGCTTTACAGTAAAGAAAATAAAATACCTTCTCCCATTCCTTTGATTTAACTAAACATCTTCAGTGAGAGCAGACAGTAATCCTACAATCCTTAAAGGCTTTTTTTCTGGTACCCACAATGGTGTTGACTGCAGTAAAAGGAGTTCTACTTACATGTTTGTCCTCAGAAATTTCCAGTCCTTCTAGCCGAATTTCAGTATTTTAGGTTATTAAATATTTTTTTCTTTCCTTACCCTTCTGTTTTCAGCCAGATGCTATATTCTTCACTAATATTTTGAAGTAGTAGCAATGAGTAAATTGTTTTTCTTACAGGGCTGCCATATTTCATCCCAAGGAGTACATTTTGGTGGTGGATCATGCAATCAACTTGTAATATCAGCATATGAATTTACAAAGCAATCATAGTGGATCATAGTGGATGGATAAGCATGAATGTGCTCCTCACATATATGTAGATATTACTAATTAGTCAAAAAGAATAATAATTAGAAAAGAAGACCTCAGAAACAGCCTCAGAAACACGAATAAACATATCTATTTTCCTCTTCTTCTTTTTTTTTTTTTTTTTTTTTTTTTTTAAGGAAAGCTACAATTTGACATTTGTAGGGTGAATTGCAAAATTTTAAGAGAATCCTTTTTAATCTGGAGGAGATTAAAGGATTTAGATTTTCTTCCTATGACTGTGAGGACCGTAAATGCCTTAACGTACTTGGTGGATTTCACAACCCATTTGAATATCTTGGAAAAAAACAGTATGTGAGTTTTACAACCAAGTCAAAAGTAGATTTAATTTAGAAAATGGTTTAAATTGAAAGTACTTTTCACTATTTCCCCTGATGTTGCTATCCTGTTTTGGGGAGTGTTCTGAACATGGGGAAGCAGCTAGAAATGTGAATCATCTCAATATTAATTTCCAACTGTGGTAAGCATTTGCTATATCCAGTAACTTCCATATCACATCCTACATTTTTCATCTTGTTTTGATGCAGAGGATCTTGCAAACCACCATCTGTAACCTAAATCAGAACACGACATACATGGAGCATTTTGCAGATATGTCCCACTTGCTAGCTACCTTTGTAATCATCTCAGGCTACTGTATAATAGCCATCAGTTTGAGTCATGGCAGCAGCGATTAACAACGCATTGTGGCCTTTAAAGAAAGTCCAGAATGCTTCTCTGATTGATTCAGCTCAAATTCCTCTTCCCAGACCCCTGATGGATGCTAGGCTCCTGCTGTAACTCTCTCCTGCCAGGGAAACTGTGCAGCCTGTGTGCTTCCCCGCACCAACCTTGTTACATGGGTTGCATTTGCATGCACGCCTGTAGTCCCTTGCTTTTTGGATGGCTAGTGGTAGGAAGGATAGAAGGGTTTGCAGCGGCTTGGACCTGTGGTGTTTGGTAGGATTCAAGGCACAGCAGTGTTCCTCCACCCTCCTTGGATTCTCTCTTCCCGCCTTCAAAGAACAGGGGCACTTACAGCTTGGCTGTCCCTCAGCTGAGGGCTGCTCTTTTACGCAGACTCTTTTTTTTTAAAAAAAGCGGTCTTTTTTAAAGATGTTTATCCATGATGCCTGGTCTCTAATTTATGTATTTCACACGTTTTAAACGTGCAAAATTTATTAATTTGCCTTTAAAATACTGCTTTTTGTGTTGGGAGAAGCTTGCAGAATCCTTGTATTGGTTCGCTGTTGCATCCTTATCTGAAGATACTTGGTTCCAGTCACTTTTCTTACTTTCCAAAGTGAGTTCTGTGGCCTCATTGTGGGTTTGTGGAAGATGAATACTAACCTGCCTTGTTTACTTTTAGGAGGTCTTGGTGATGGACCCCAGTGCAAGTCCATTGGAAAAGGCAGCTACAACAATGTAATAGTCACCAGCAGTCCCATGACAGTTCAACAGCTGGGACCTGTTTCACTTCCTGCTAATCAGGTTTCAACAACATGCAACCTGATCAACCCTAACTTACAGAGGTCTATGGATGTTTCCACCCTGAGTCCTTCTCCATCAGATACAAGGTCCTGAGTTACTTTTTTATAATTCGTATTTTAAAAAGAGGATATTTTAATACTCTTGTAATTTAAATGCAACCTTTCTGATGATTAAAATGGCCTGAATGATGACCTGTTATGCCATGGGGAATTTCATTCACTGCAATTTGATTGACATCAGCTATAATCGTATTGTTTGGATCACTGAAATAATGGGTGAAATTTCTATGTTTTGTAGGTCTTTTTCATAGTCACTTAACTATATCTTTGTATTAAGGACAGGAAATTAAGCTTACATGGTACTAAAAGTGCTATGTTGGTGCCTGTCAAGTTACACTAATGACAGAGAAAAAAACCGTAAATGCCTGCTCTCATCCTCATCAAATACCTTTGCTTTCAAATTGTTCAATTGTTTACATAAGTAAATTAATCAGATCAGTTGTTCCCAATCTGTACTGAACCAGCAGTTAATTTTATCTGTTAGACTTGTGTCCCTAAAAACTTGCCCATTTTCCTAGCTCTTGTGGGCAGTTCAATAAAATCTATGGCTTCTCCCTGTAAACATTGCCTTTTTATATCGCTAAACCACAGACAAATATTAATTAAGTTTTAAATGCTTAAATAAGTTTTGAGATTATGACTAGGAGTATTGTTAGCAAAAATGAAGGGAAAATAGTTATTTATCCATACAAATACATTAAGTGCATCCTTGCACATTAGTTAAATATACAGTGCTAAAACATTCTGGTGTGTTATTTCAGAAGCTACATTCCCTCCTTTATAGATGTGACTCATGGAACAGTTGCTTACTGAGTTGAAATGTAACTGTTCTTATTTACAAAAGGCCACAAGAGTCTTTACTATCAAGACAGTTTCCATTTCACTGCATCACTTTATAATAAGGCAAGGAGCATTAGTGAAAGAATTAAAATTGGTGTTATGTAACTGGAAGAAAATTTTGCTTTACTCTAAGATAGTTCATGACATTTCTTGTTGCTTAGTTGTAAAGACTGAGTTCCCAAGGACTATTTACAAGATTAATTACTTATAAATGTTTCAAGGAAAACCATTCAGTGCTAAGATGATGATAGATGACAATCCAGAGACATGCCTTTGAGACAGAACAGAACTGATGATAAAAAGCATCCTTAAGTAATTATTACTTACTTAATAAGTTCTAGGTGTGCCTGTATGGTTCCAAACACTGTTGTTTTTATCTGAATGTGTGGCTGGGTGTACTGTGTCAGCACTGAGTTTTACATTTTTGTTTTATTTTAAAGAAACATTTACTAAGGATGAACTGAAGTTGAAACTCTGGCAGAATAGAGTCTCTAGTGTCCCTAGAGTCTCTTTTAATGATTTATCAATAAAGATACTAAAAAATCAGTTTGCCACACAAAGAATGTCAATTTAAGTAATTTGCCCTCAAATTGGCTATTTTATAGGGCAAAATAAGTTTAAAGTCAGGTTTTAATTCACAGATTGTTGAGACACTTTTTTTTTTTTTCTTTTTAAATTGCTTCAGCAATAAACTGCATTGGCTTAAACCAGTCACCTAGGATGACTCCATAATCCTTCATGGGCTGAGTGCCTTCCCTGGATTGTATCTTTCAGGCATCATGAACTGTGCTATGGCAGCTCAATCCAAACGAAACTACTTGTTGAACTGAATCAAACCAAAATGACTTGTCTTGATTTTTGCTGATAGAAGAAGGAAGAACTTTGGCATTTTTCATGTATATTCCATGAAGGATAAAACCTTCCCCATCTTTTTTGAGTTTCCCAAAAAAACTTTTTCAGAGTATTCAGTTATTCTGCTTGAAACCAGATGCAATATTGTGATTCACTTTGATGCAAGTCAGAAAAGGGCCTAGGAAAGAACAAAAGTTTTTTGTCTAGTAAAACTGAAGACAAGGCAAAAAGATAAGAAAACATAGTTTTCACTCTTCCATGTTTATGTATAGGAGTCTTGTGAATGTAGGAATTTATGTGTAGGGTTATACTTGACATTATGGCCTCTGTGCACAGAGGAAGAAGAGAAAGTAATTACAAGTAATCTCTTGTAAATATTCATAAAAGATCTCAAGTTGGTTTAGATTACAGTGAACAGATAAGCCAATTAATACCATCTGAAAATCTGACACAATGGTATAGTTGGCCCTTCATTTTCCTGTTAGGTATATTTATTTTCCCCCAGAAAACTACTTAGTCACAGTGTAGGCTTGGTTTTAAAGGAATTTTCTTTGTTTCGAGAGTTGGAATCTTCATTGCTTTTGAGTTTAGAGGCTTAATCTGAGGCTTCTTCAGATTGTCTGGCTCTTACTTACTGTGTACTTGAAATTCTGGGCCAAATTGTTCGCTCGTTTTCTTCTGAGACTTTTGAAATGCAGTTTTTCTTCAGCTTCACTTGTGGGTATGTCCCTTTGTGTTAGGCATTAGGAGCTTTCTGAATGACACTGGTTCTATTAGGCATCTGATTAAAATTCTTGACATTACAAAACCGGACTGGTTACATTGATGACAGTTTTTTTCCTACTTGTAAAAGAAAATAATCAAACTGGAAAAAAACCCCGAACCAACCGTTTTTGTATTTTCCAGATACAAATATGTATATATACTAGCATGGAAAAATCAAACCTTACTTACTCCTCTTGCACTGTCGAAGACTGTGGAGCTGTTTTGGGCTCATAGCATACTAACATGATTTAACTGCCCTATAATGAACTGAACTTTAACAAAGCCCATTGGTAACAGACCCAAAATCCTGAATATTCTTTTTTTCCAACAAATAATTATCCCTTTAGATCTGAATCATGCACAACATTGACCTGATATGGCAATCCCATTTTTCTCATTTGTCTCAATGCAAACTGTAGTCAGCACATTAATTGTGCTTTTCTTCAGTGATGTATTTTGAAAGTGCCATTTAAACCCTGACGGAGTAACGTAACCTTCATAACAGTAGCCTACGCTGACATTCAACCTGAAAAGGATGTTTCTTACAAAACAATGTTCAGCAAATCAACAATCCATTACAAAGCAAGTATCTCGAGCAAAGGAGCATTTACCCCTCAATCCTGTAGGTCACCACAGCAAGGTTGGATGATATTTAAATCTGCATTTTCACTGTTCATGACCTATCTCAGTGCACAGATGTAGCACCTCCAAATTGCTTTGTCTCTACCTCAGCCTGTGCCAAGCTTCACCTCTAGACAAAAGAGAGCTGAGGGGGCAGCCAGGGTGCCCTGACAATCAATTCCCCTCCTCTAGCTCTTCAGCAGTGACTGAGCTGTGCTCTTGCAGCACGATCCAGCCCTTAAATAAAAGTCACTGCAAAATGGCTTTTCTTTCTTCATGTTGTTTGACTCTCAAGTGTTGGAAAATGCTGTAATAACAACTAGTAAGAAAAAAATCCCATCACTCAGGGAGTGCTTGTGTGATGGGTGGAATAAGATAACAAAGACACTGTGATTTTTCATCTTTGACTTCTAAGGCTAGATCTGAGTGTGGAAACCTATATACATTTGTCTCACCTGAATGACCTTACCTAGTGTTTTCACATATTCTTTCAACCTTGGTGGTCTAATTGAAAGATAATATACAGATCTCAAAGGTGAAAAGTCTATTTACAAAACCAAAATCATGGAAATCTGGTAAATATTACTATATACACTTGGAATACCTCCAGACCCATTGTTTAGGATCTGTTCTTGCTCTCTTGGGTTGACTGATGTTGTTTTAAATGGGATTCCCAGTTTCAGCCTACCACCAGCCACCACTGCAGTATTTTCATCTATCTCCACCACAGCTGCAATCACTGCAGTAGGGCTGTGGTGCAGACATATGATGGAAGTATGAGCCTTAACAGATTCATCCCATGGTTCTGTGTTCCTGAAGCAGTATCTATAAGAAAATATTGCAGAACTCAGAAGCAACTGCAATATTGTTTACCCTGAGTAGGTATTAGAACTTGCTTCCCTGTTAAAAAAAAGAAGCAAGTCAAATAGCTAGTAGAACTGCCTCCTCAAAGATGGTTGCTGTGACCATGTCTGTATCAAGAAAGAGATGAGATTTGGTTTTATTAATTTTCTTTGTGGTGCATACTTTTCTCTTTTCAGAAATGGAGGTTTGTAGCAACATAAAAACATAAAGTAAAATAATTATAAATAACTACAGGAATACTTTTGTAAATAAGAATACATTATTCCTTACCTGCATGACAGTTCCTGTGGAATATTGCATGCAAATATTTCATATATTGTTTATTTAGAGCTTTTAGAAAATATATTTAAACACCTGGTATTTAAAGTACCTATTAGTATTTAAGGTACCTTACTAGCACTTATTAGTTGTCTTTTTAAAGTTAATTTGACCTCCTGAAGTCTTCGTACAATACAGGGAAGTATTGCGGATTTTAGTTTTTATGTGAGAAGGTAACAAGCAGTGATTGACTTGTCCACTTTAAAAAATACAGTTTAGATGTGGAAGAGAAACTAGATTTCCCATTTACTGGATCCATCATTGAAATTCTGTGCTTCTTCAAAAGTGTAATGTGAAAATAATCAACCCAGGAATTAATCCCCAAAAATGTAAGACGCAGAGGCTTCTGTGTCTATGAGATCTCCAGATTTATCTAGCTATGTACCTGGTTCTTTCTACTGCTAGACCCCCTTAAAAATTTAAATTAATACACTGGTAGCACTGCTGGCTGACAGGAGATCCAAGTCTGCTATGTGAACTGAGAACGTGAAGACATAAATCCACTTGGCCTTTACCCAGCATTTGCAGCCATGAACCAGGGACCTTGATGTTCTTGTATTTCCTTTTTATACCTTTCTGTAGAAAACAGTAGTTAAAAGCTTATGATTTCTTTTCTTAAGCTACCAGTAGAACATTTGCAATATAAACAAGTTTCACATTATTTCTGTGAAAAACAATGATAATAGCAATATTACACTTTTGTGATAATTTAGATTGCTGACTTGGAGACAGGTAAATCAGCAGATCAAAACTAAGTAAACCACTTCAAGCAACTCTTCTACATTATTCATTTTGTTTGGCTTGTAAATTTAGATATCTGTATTTATAAACTTGAGCTATTTCTGTAGGGACAACTATTTGTATGCATTACAATTACATTCAGGTTAAATATTTATACTTTATTAATCAGTTTTCTTCCTGTTCTTTGCTAGCAAAATAATAGTAAGCTCAAATCAATACGCGTTTCGTACAAGGCAGGAACATAATGCATTGGCTTCAGAAGCCCAAACCCATTTATACCGCAGCTGATGAACAGATTTACATTGATATCTGCAGTGATATATCAAGAACATTTACAGCAACTTTTCTTTAAAATCTTAAAGTTTTGAAGTTGGTTTCCTAAGTGACCTTGTTACGTATGTATTGCCCATGTATGTCTCCTGGTACGTTAACTCGGAGTGCTGAAGTTGAGTACTTAAAATTACGGAGAACTTCTTTCACATGTAGCCTTTCTTTACTTTTATATGTGTGTGAAAATAGAAGGACTACTGTTGAATTGTCTAACTGCTTACTTATTTTATTGTGCCTTTATTCCAGGTCGCTCTTGTCACATGAGTCTCTGGCATCTATGACATTAAGCTCGTCAGAAGGTCAGTCCACTTTGAGTGTTAAGCAAGAGAGGTTGCATGGGTACAAGACACTTCATTCTGTTGCTCCTGACCAAGGTTTTCAAAACGGCAGTGAGCTTGGGGACTTACTAAATTTTTCACCTGCAACATCTGTGTCTGGTAACTGCATATCTAACGCATTATCATCCTACTTATATGGCACAGAAAATAAGCATTCCCTTTACACTAGTCTGCACAATTCCTCAGCCTGGTCTCAATCAGCCTGCTCCAAAAAAAGATCACTCCCTCTATCTCCTCTGTCTGATGGCATTGGGATTGACTTCAATACAATCGTCCGTACAACCCCAACCTCTCTGGTGGCCTACATCAACAGCTCTAGGACATCACCAGCAAATGTCTCCCCACAGCCTGAGGTCTATGGACATTTTTTGGGAGTGAGAGGAAGCTGTATACCCCAAAATTGCTCTATTCCATCTGCCCAGAAACACCTCCCCATGGCTAATGGCAATATCACCTTCTCAGGGTACACTGATAATGGGGCTGGCGAGTACCAGCGGATGCAGCAGCTGGAGCAAACCAGCTTGCAGACGGGCACTGCAAGTAACATGGTGATTCAGGCAGGCATGCAACCTGCAGACAACCAGGTGGTGAACATCCTGAAAGATGGACATCTGGATGACTTCTCAAGCCATACAGTTGACATGCCTCTTCCACCTCTGCTGCCACCACCTCCTTCTCAAGGGCCACCACCACCATACCATGCTCACCAGCACCGGCAACCACACAACCTCCCCAGTTGCATTCACCCATTGGCTGTGCCTCTTTCTGCCCCAGGCTCCCTGCTTGATGAAGACAGTGAGTCAGGCAATTTCAATGGCAAGTATGGCTGTTGTTGGGTAGACTGTGGTGCACTGTATGACCAGCAAGAGGAGCTTGTGCGGCACATAGAGAAGATTCATATAGACCAGAGGAAAGGAGAGGACTTTACTTGCTTCTGGGCAGGGTGTCCACGAAGGTACAAGCCGTTTAATGCCCGTTATAAACTGCTAATTCACATGAGAGTCCACTCAGGAGAGAAGCCAAACAAATGCACAGTAAGTCTGAATTCTGTCTCTCTTACCAATACCAGGCCCTCTATTACTCATGAAAATACAAAGAATTGGTAATTCTGCCTTCGTTTTTCCAAGTTAATGGTGTGCTTTTTTAACTAGTCTGTATAAATGAATGGCTGTTCCATCTTTCCACCTAGATTGAAAGGAAAGGTAGTCTTTAATTTGATATGCAGTGACAGACAGGGTTGGATGAAATGTTATTTTCTAATTTTATAATCTTTTACTGTAAACTGCAAAATTGGCATAGTAGACCTTGATAACATACAACTTAAAGTACCTTCAGTACTTAAGTACTTGCATAAAGAAACACGTGGGAAAAGTGCTGCAGAATAAATGACACAATTTTACTCTTGCCTCATGTTACTCCTTTTAGACTTGAGGAATTTTCAGGATCTTGCATAATGTTACCATGAAAAACTGAGAAGAGCTGGGTATTTTTTTAAGGTAGTTATTTGTTTCATTACTAACAAAAAATAGACCCACAGCCCTGTTTTCATGAATACAGTAGGAATTAAGCACCTAATTTCTCTGTTTGCAGATTCCAGCAGTAAGCATTCAACCCCCAAAGTTTTTCTTGCTGTTGTTGTTAGGGTCACTGCAAGCCAGTCTCACACATGTGTAATCACATGGGGTAACTAGCCAGTAAACCATAAAATCACTTTATGTTTAAATCCCAGTGAAAAACCTATAATCTCTGTAATTCAGACTCTTGATTGGCCTTACATATAGTCTGTATTTTGGATGATGATTAGCTTACCTTTGCTATGTGCTTACTTAGTGCCAGCAGAAAGTAATCTCACCAGTGCTGATTCCGGTCCTCAGCATAACCTAACAAAATAAGGAGTACATAATTTCTAGGAATAATTGCTGAGTATTATTCACTTGAAAAAAACCCCATATTTATATGTTATGAAACGTAAATTGGTCCTGGAGTCTGTTTCTATTTGTGTGGCTAGTTAAATAATTTTCTTACCATGGGGTAGATCTTTGCTTGTGCAGTAGACAGAGGAAACTTTTTTATTTCACTTTTGTTACATCAAAGGGCCAGTCTCTCTGAGGAAAGCAGATATCTTCCCAGATTTCTCTCTTAAAGGATCTGGTAGACATTGGTTCACAACACTAGGGAGACTCTTTTATCTTTCCCTTTAGCCACACCAGACCCCGAACTCGGGCTCTCTGGATACTTTTTCAAAAATTCTGTAATACTATCTTTTCTGCTCTCCAGATATATTGCATCAGAGTTTACCATTAATTTCAGTTCCTCTTCAGAGATTTCTTGTCAGGTCTGTGGAGAGAGAGAAAAGGAGAAAGAAGAATTATGAGGAGTAAAGAAAGTAATATTTTAAGGGAATAGCACTTGGAGAAAAAGGACAGAGACAGACATCAACAGATGAGTGAGGACAGACAGTGGTATGAAGGAAGAGCTGGATTGGTGAAAAAGCATTGTAATAAGAGTAATGGAGGTACCCAGCATCTTCTAGTAGGAGAATTATGGTGAGGGATCCAGTAGATCAGGGAAAACATTGTGTTAGTAGCACTCTACTCCCTGCCATGCCTGTTCAGAAAGGATGCTTACAGTGACCTTCACGTGATTATGAGGCCTCCTCGATGACTTCTTAGCTTTGAAGGAATTGTCATTCACTGATAATATATATGTTAATATTTAAGAGGATAGAGTACTTCATATGATAACATTTTTAAGATTACTAAACCTGAACTAAAGTGTGTGCCACATCACACTGTGTCACAAAAATATAAGAGGTGTCTGTATTAGTTTCTCAGAGAGGATTGCTTTCATCGACATTAAAAAGTGCGATTAATTTCTCTGAAGTTCATCAAGTATTGCTGGATCATTGCTAGATAGTGCCAAGAAGTTTGCATATCAGAACCAGCAGGCACGTGCTTATCTTGCTTTCATGTTTAGAAGTATGATGAAATGTAGAAATAGGGTGACATGATACCCCTTATGATGTGGGTGCAAGTCTGGAACATAGGTCTCCTTTCTTGGGACAGAATGCAGAAATGGCATTCTTTAGCAGGGTTTGAGAGGAACAGCTTGCTGTCCTCTCCCTTTATCATTTCACAAATGGTGTGAATTTGGAAAAGAATATTTGGCTTTCTAATGCCCAGGGGTATGGTCTGGAAGTATCAAAATATATTTAGGAAACTGTTCTTCAGCCAGACTTCATACCTTTCTCACCACGCAGTGAAATTTACATTCATATCAAATCAGTTTAAGGTTTTAAACTGAGATTTTAAGTGAGGTACCAAGGAGAACACTTTGTGCAAGATGATCGTGAAGTATGATTTCTGTAATTAACAAAAAATATGCAAAAGAAATCTCAAGCTTTTAGCCAACCCTGTATGAATGTATGCATTTGAGTGATAAATCAAAACAATTAATTCATAGTCTTTATTTGTCCACCTAAGGTCTTTCTATAGTTTATTTATGCCTTTTTCACTAAGAACGTTATAAGGTTTATGTCCACTGCAGTTTGCAGACTAATAAAAGGCAGTCTAGTAGATGAAGCAGGGAAGGAAAGATGTCGCATCTATTATGTGAACCAACCAGATTTACTACAGAGAATATATATCAGAAGCAATAGGTCTTTGGGAGGAACCTATCATAAGGTAATATATCAAGATATCCTGTAATCAAAGGCAGCCAGTTACACTAGTCACCTCAGTAACATCACACAGTAGTCATTGTGTGAGCATTGTATGTGTTGATAGTTCTTAACATTTTGCAAGAGGCAATCTTCTCATTAAGCATATATTGCAATGGGTCCTAGTCAGTATATTCATCATGCAGTACTTGTTTCTGTGCAGATGAGCGCAGAAAGTGTATCATATTACACTGTTTTGTATATCCCAATGGATTGTTGTGATAGTTCAGCAAGCTTTGCAAGATTTTAGTATTACAAGGTGAGAGTTACTTCCAAGTTGTGTTACTGTAACAGAGAATCAGATGCACAACTAATTACCAGCTGAATTTCATAATATCATTTGATTCTTCTCTGTTACCACTCTGTGATGATGAAATCATGTATTTAAGAAGAGACTTGAAGAACAGCTAGGACCGTAGTTAAAATCAGAATCAAGTAGAATGTTCCTTTGACTTCACCAGTAGTTTTGCCACATCTGAAATAGTTTCTATTTACCTATGTAACAAAAATTTGAAATGATATATTATAGCTACAAGTGATACTCTAGTCATTAGTTCCTTCTCATTCTGGATGAGCAGTTTTCTTCAGTTCTGGAATATGAAAGTGTTGTAGAGTGAGTATTAATCAGATAGCAGCATATAAAAACTTGTGATGATTATGGTAATCAGATCCAAACATAAAGTCAAGCATTCTTAAGGTCAAAATCTCAGAATATACTTGTTCTGCATGAAATGAATGAGGAAGGAGTGGAAAATAACTGCATACTGGTCCTGATAGATCTGTTTCATACTGTTGTTCTTCCATGAATCAGGCTCTTTTTTCCAGCTTTAACCGACTTTGCTGATGAAGCTGCATGCTCAGATTAGGTCTTAGCAATTTGATCAAGTATACTTTCTCTGTGTACTGAAAAATCATGGTGTATTTTTCATTCCTGCCCATTTTTAGAAGATTGGTCCTTTGTCCTGGGTTCAGCTACAGCAGTCATTTTTTCTCCTTCTTAGTAGCTGGTGCAGTGCTGTGTTTTTGACTTTCAGTCTGGGAACAATGCTGATAACACTGATGTTTTTAGTTGTTGCTCAGTAATGTTTACTCTGACCAAGGACTTTCTCAGTCTCATGCTTTGCCAGAGAGGAGGGGAAGCCAGGAGGAAGCAGAGACAGGACACCTGACCCAAACTGGCCAAAGGGGTATTCCATACCACAGCACGTCATGCCCAGTATATAAACTGGGGGGAGTTACCCGGAAGGCCCAGATCGCTGCTCGGGTCGGGCTGGGTATCGGTCGGCGGGTGGTGAGCGGTTGTGTCCTCTCCCCTTGTTATTCCTCTTATCATTATTATTGGTAGCAGTAGTGATTTGTATTATACCTTAGTTACTGGAGTGCTCTTATCTCAACTCGTGGGAGTTACATTCCTCCAATTCTCCTCCCCATCCCTCCGGGAGCGGGGGGAGGAAGGAAAAGGGGGGGAGTGAGCGAGCGGCTGCGTGGTTCCAAGTTGCCGGCTGGGCTTGAACCACGACATCCTTGTTCTAAAAATAAGGCACTTCAATTTTAAAAAGCATTATTTTAGTGAAGGCTTGCTATTTGTCTTGTAATGAAAGCCAAAGTAGGTGAATATACTTGGTTTTGCTTTATTACATGGAAATCTGTGAAATTAAAGAGTACCTGCATGCAAGAGGCTTCACTTGAATTTGACTTATTTGGAATAGGAATTGATTAAATAGCTGCTAGAATGTATTGGGCTCCCTCACTTTTCACTGAAACATATTTCAGGTTCTGTTATAACTTAACTGCATCTGGAATGTGTTCTTCTTTTCAGTGACCTGGTTTAAAGACTGAAAAAAAATTATTCATGACATGATAATATATATATAGTGTCTATTCCTAAACTTCATATTGGAAGACGTTGCGGAGTTAAACTAGATGATCTGTGAAGGTCCCTTCCAACACAAACTATTCTATGATCCTATGATTCTTTATATAACGTAGGTATGGCGTGTCAAATATGTTGTATTCATTTATCAATCTGTGCATTAGCTTGTACTTTGTAGGAATACTAGAAGAAAAAGTTGAATAAAAAATGGATGTTGAAATGCAAGCAGTTAATATGCTGGTGTTTGGGAAAAAGTCTGTAACATTTACCGGAAGTTACCATACAGTGGTATCAGAGGTTCCTTCAGATATCCTCTGGATTAGAAAAGAAGAGAATTTCCAGTAGCTGTGGGAACTCCACAGCAGCAATTGGCAAATGCTAAACTTTTGCTCTCTTTGGCTGTGCCTGTGAGGTTATTTTCTACTCAGTGGGTTTTTTTTTGT